AGTAGAAGTACTAAAAGCATGCCTAAGGCAACAGAAACTTTGGTGTTAATTTCCATTTCTTTCAAGTGCATTTGATGAATGATGTGACAAAAGAATCCTAATTAAAGTAAAAATCCTGAATACTAAATAAATTAGAAGTGCCACTACATTCATCTTCTGCAATGATACTACTGCCATTTCTGCTGCTTCTTTGTGCCCCTTTGCTTACATCTGTGGCAGTAACTCTGCAAAGGGCCAGCACAGATGGGGGAATGGATTCTCTTCCCCTAAAGAGAGAGATAGCAGAACACACTACTTTATTTCCCTCCACTACCTTCAATTTACACAAAGAAAGCTTATAAGGACCATTCAAAGTATTTTTAGATGTTTATTTTTCCTCTCAAATGACTTAAAATTTGACAAGCAACACTGCACTCTCTGGTCTTTAAACCAGACAAGTTGCTGTGTTTACGGCCATTATTTTTTTCTTTCTTTTATTACTGGAGAATCATCAAGTACATCTATACTTGGGATAGAATATAATCCTAAAGAGTTGGAAGGCAACACTGAAGGGATGAAATTCTGTGGCTTGTGTCACACAGACCTGGAAAGACAATAATAAGTGACCTTAAATATGAATCTTTCAAGGAGCTGCCCAATTCAATAAGCAGACTGGAAGATGAGTTATGACTCCTGAGAGACATCCTTTCCCTGCTCCCCTTTTGTTCCAGGGAGCAACTTTGAAATACTTTAGAAGTTTATATCCCCAGTGTGCCCAAGCAGTAGGTTTGTATTTTTCCATTCTCTTTCTGCTCCTGACAGAGGAGGAGGCTCTTCTATTCCCATCACAATTACACTCGAAATCTCCCAATGCAAACAAAAGCTATGCCCCAGCATCTTTAAGTCCCATTTGTACTGTCTAAGGCATGTGACAAGTTCTAGAAGCACCCTGTAGTCAATCAAGTACTCAAAGGGACTCACATAATCCAATGTTCAGACTTTGCCAGTAAGTAATAATGACTGCCTGTTAAAAAAAGTGTGAAAACAAGAGAAGCATGTAATGATACTTTTCCAAATTATTCTCCCAGACCATAGTAATTCATAGAGAGTTCTGATTTACAGTTCGTGCCTTTATATTTAATGGTCTATGATGCATTGCACATAGACAGAACAAACATGACTTGTCAGACATGGTAGAAGACTCAAACCCCACAATAGCATAGGACACAAAACACAGAGCGTCTTCTTGAATCTTCTCACAGTGATACCATGCTTCTTGGCTCTTTTCAAAAAGTGTTTTATTGTGTTTTCTAAATGACAAAACAGCTAGAATCTCTCCCTCCTTTACTCTTTTAATCTGAGCTTTTAAACAAGTTTTCTGATTTGTTCTAGGAAATTCTTTTTTTCAGAGGAAATGACAGAGAATATTATCTTAATGAAAAAGATAGATCACTTGCTTATATCTGTCTGGTGTATTTTAAGACCTGACCTGACTCCTAATCTAGCTAGTGAAAATGTAATGGGCTACATTTTTTAAAGTACTGCAAGCAGAAACGCAGCTTGTGTACCCAGTATATAATTTACAGAATTTTTATCAGCATGTGAAGTTTGTAGCCCTAATTGTCTTCTATGAATTTTGGATTGATATTTTTGAAAATATATTTCTTGATCCTAACTGTAATAATGATCATTTCAGTGATCAAGGTGGGTTGTCAGGATAATTATTCTATATAGGTAGGTGTATACAGATTTAATATATTGCCTAAGTAGGAGAGACAGTCTGAGACATATATTGTGTCATATTATTTAATGAAGCACCTGTCTTACACACATAAAATTGACTATTTACTACACCAGCTCTTGAATTTTAACTTTGCATTCAGCTACTAAAAGGGAGATATTTTATTTCAGTTTCACTCAGCAAAAATAAAATTTTCACCCCATCTGTAAAAATGCACAAGAACATAACTAATGATCTTACTACTTTTCTCTCACACAAACACCCTGTGATACAGGCATGAGAGCTTCATTTTCCTGTATGCTTAAAAAATTCTTACAGTTTGTCAGTCAAGTATTAGGCTTCCATGTTTTTCTGTAGTTTGAATGACTTCATGTTTATGTCTTGTGGAGCTGGTTACAGAAGAAGGAAAGCAAGAGAAACTTGAAAACAAGTTATTGGAATTTGAGAACAGTAATTCAGGAACATGCTTTGTAACAAAAAGGTGAACAGAAGCTAGAAGGCTTTCTCAAAACAAATGCAAGAGAGGAAGTTGGAGGTTTAACACATTTTATATGCTGTATCGCATTGTACACTACATAGTTTAATGAAGCCGCTGCAATCTTTTCTTTCTTAGGGTTAGACTAGACTGCATTTGGTCTTCACCATCACTTTGACTTCATTCTCACTGACCTTGATCCTTTCTGCCACTGTCTGCTATGATCCCTGGGGATTAAGTGCCCAAAGGTTATCAACTTACATACATGTACATGAGTTGTCATCTCTGGATTCTTAATAATTGATTGTCAAAGCACTTTTGCACAATGCACCTTGCTTTTTTGGCAGAACAAGTGCCCTTTCTTAACTCGGTGTTCAGACACTCTTCTTTGGGGTATGTGAGTGTCAACCAGCGTGATAAAGCGTAAAAATACAAGCTTGTCAGTAATGACCCAGTTGGTAGCACTCAGAACCCTTGGCTAAAAAGTCAGAGAAAGCTTTTCCAAGTTCTTTTGCTGGTTTTGTCCTGGGACTAGTGAAAAATATAGCACAAAGCATTGTCATTAGGAGAAATCTACATTTGACTGTGAATTTCAAAGGAAATTATCTTCTTACAGAGTTAGAGAAGAAGAAGGTATTCTGGTAAGTGTTTTCAAAATTGCAAATGTTTTGAAGTAAATTATAAAACTACTACAGGGACAAAAAAAAATATAATTTTAAATAACTTTACCCATAATCTCTTATCCGAGATTTATGTATCCTATAAAAACATATAGGATTGTTGTTGTTTTTTTTTAAAAAAAGAAGTTCTTTTGAAAGCTTTTGTTAATTTTGAAGGTGAAGTGTCTTTACAGGCTGGTAGTTTTGCCAAGGACTCAGCTAAAATTATGTTTGGGGTTTTTTGTTTGGCTGGGGTTTTTTGTTTGGTTATTTGTTTGGGTTTTTTTTAATTTACAAACAGGCTTGTCTTCAGTGACTTTACTTAAAGGTAGTTGATTTAATCTATCGAATTCATGTTTAGATCACTGCTGGTAAAGACTAGATTAGATACAACTAGTGGTCTTTCATGTTGATCAAATTTAGAAAGCGAGGATAACTGGACACCATCATTTGTTAAATTTGATGCATGCACTAGAAAGGTGATAGTAGGTTGCTTAAGACAGGCTTTTGTTTTCAAGTGGCTTAGTGTCAGAGACATAGAAGAGCATCTTTTTGTTACTAGACAACGTTTTCTGGAGCTATAGTGTGCTATATTCACCATAAGATAAATCTGTAATGTACTGGACAGAGTAAACTGTTCATGTTGAGAAGTGTTTCTTTATCCCTCTAAAGGCTTATAACATCCTTTGTCACAACAAGAGGAAATTTGGATCTTTTATCAGCTAGTTCAACAAAGCAATCCATTTAAATAATGTGTCTGGAGGTGTAATCTATGGAGATAATCAGTAGCTTATTAACCTTAATCATAACAACACATTATCACTATTCTGTTTCATGTTGACTAATTTGCAGAACAATGGGGAAGAGCACACTCAGCACCTAAGACTGTTCCTAGTTCTTGGCACTGCATAAATACAGTGACCCTCACTTGAAATGTCAGAGACTTAAGAAAAAGCTGTAACATATGATGAAGGAAGAGAGTTGGGGAAAAGAGGATCATGTAATCAGAGAGTTAGGTAAAAAGTAAACACTTGTTAAACCTCTGGACAAAGTGAGATCATCATCAAACAGATACCTAGAGCACAGAATAAAGGTCAGTTACCTTCTATCATGTTTGTGTAGCTTCAGTTAAACTAACAAGCAGCAGCATGTGCTTAAGGTCATAGTTAAACACTTTTGCCTTGATAAATGAGCTGTGTATTCAGTGCTTCCCTTTCAAGAGCCGAGCTGTATTGGAACTCTGATCTACAAGAAAAAGACATCAGAAAAGGAAGCAATTTACCTGGGGATAGAAATCAGTCATTTCAGGTGGTTAAAAGAAATAATAATTCAAATAATAAAATAAGTCAAAACAACCAAAATGCATTGGATAAGCCTCAAAAATAAAAATGTTTAATTTTAGGGAGTGGAAGTCCAGATTTTTTTTTTCCTCCAGATTTGTCAAAATAAAAAATGCTCTGCCTTGAATTATTTCAACATTAAAGGTACATTTCCTCATAGCTGCACACTTCTCCTGGAAATTCTAGTTCTTGAACCTGTTGAACTTAATATTCCGCATGAATGCCACAGATAAACCTACTACTGAGGAAGAAATATGGCCATAAGCCTTATAAGAGATTTTAATGGTATAGTCTCTATCCTGAAAGGAGTGAAGATGGATTAATAAACTGTACCTTCTAAGAGAATGTACCATGGTATAGAAAAGTTGTTTTTATTAGATCAGCTTGTAAAGTTAAAACAAAAAAACACAACCAAACAAAAAAACAAACAAAAAGCTTTGGGGACCAGCTCTTCCTCAGGTGTCAAACAGAAACAGCAAGGCATAATATATCCAAAAAATTCTACAAAAAATGGAAGAAGCATTTGTTCTTCCTTTTGTAACACTGGTTTGGTTCTTCCTCTTCTTTGTTCTTCTTAGTACTGAACTAGAATAACAAAACATGAGAAAATTTATTAAAATATCAAATTAGTTTGAAATGTTGTAGTCTAAGTTCTCACACTAGAAGAGCTGAAAGCATTATAGAGTATTTCACCCAGAATTTACTTGGCACAGAGCCTAAAGATTTTGTAATGGAAGTTTTAAAAGAGGAGGAAGTAAAATAGAATGAGAGAGGTAAGCTTACAGTAAAACTAGGAACAGCAACTGAGACTGATGAAGAAGGTAAAATCTGAGGATGCTGTGTAACTAACTACAAAGTTAAAAAGAAGTCTCAGCCAGTTATTATTGACCAAATCCAAAACGGCAAGGTTTTGGAGAGAGAGAATAACTTCAGTGAGACTTCATTATTTCAATGATACAGATTCATGGTTCTGTAAATGAAATTATTGTCTTTTTGACTCATAAATGGTGCAGTTAATAAGGGCTCTACAAAACAAAACTTCTCCACATTTTCCTGTTATCATCAAAGCGTTCTGCCTGAGACAGTAACTGTGCTTTTTTCTTACACGTCATTGCCCTATCAGTCCTAGAACACAATTGTGATATTGCAGTAAATATCTGATAAAGATCTGTAGTGATTTGGGTTCTAAATCTGATAGGGACTAGGCAGAAAAAAAACAATAATTCACATAGGCCATGTGATAGGATTGAGACAGAAATGTCTCACATGTACTATATATGAAAATACAATAATCCCACAAGAAATTTTAGCTTATCCCAGAAAAATAATCTTGCAGATTCAGGGCTCTGGAAGCAAATATCTGACTATGATTATGTATTTTTGTCTTCAAAATGTTTAGTGATACTGCTTATAAATAAGCACAGATTCACATTATCTAAAACTGTATCCTCATTTCACAACAATTATGAAATTTGCAACTCATTTTATAAGGCTGTAGAAATTGAATTTTACTGAAATGCAATGTGCTGTGAGCAGATTCCACTGTTAATGTACATATGTTGGTCTGACATGAAACAACTCAGAAAATGTATTTGATTATGCATCACTCTAGGCAAATATTGCCCATAAACTTAAGTGACTATCTGAGACTTTAAATAGTAAACAGCAAGTATAAAAACTGGAATTAGCTTTCTGGGTGTTATTTGTTATCTAACAGTGACAAACCATGAAAGCATTTAAATGTGAAAACTAAAACTGATCTCACATCTTATCCTCTTGCCTGACTCTTAGTCCTTTAATATGCATTTTGCTTATGTAGTTGAACAATATCAGTTCATTATAAAATTGCAATATATTCACTTAATAAAAAAATTACGATTTTACTCAGTGTTTATGTTGATATCTTAAGTATCACACACACTGTTATGTAGTGACAAGACCAAATGCACTTTGGCTTAGTTTCTAATAAAAATTGGTGTTGATTTTATTAGCACTCTGGCAATATATTTGAAAGCATGTTAATGAGTATGTTTGTCATGTGCTTAGACAAAACAATTTCTGAAGTCAGAGTGTTGTTTTATCTGCTTTAAAGCATTAGTAATAAGGAGTTGAATATGTATTTTGATAAGTATTTTATATCCTGTTAGCCAATAGTTGAATACAATAGAAAAATCTACCTACTGTACATACAGACATTATGCTATAATTTGGTAAAATAGTAAAGCTGACAACAAAAGTAACTGAATTCCAATGGAATCTATCAAGAATATCCAGAGTAAAACAGAAGCAATTATATTATTCAGCTGAAGAATTTTTCAGTTGTCAAGATAAATATTCTTGACTTTTTATTTGGATCATTTTAAGAAATCCCAACCAGTCTGAAAAATTAATTACATGGAAATCACTATGAAACTTTTTATGTTTCCTTTAACAACATTTTACATTTTTTTCATAACAACTTTTCCAATCCCATGTAAGACTGAATTCATCAAGGAATTAGATGAGAAATGGAAGCTTCTGTTTCAAAAGACAGAATGGCAGATAGACAACTGAAAACAGATGCCAATTATTTGCCAATGTCTGCAGTAGAACAAAACATTTTATGACATTTACTTTGCCTTAGCAAAGCTGCCATTGATGTCAGCAGGTTCTGAAAGTAAACTTTATATGATCTAGGATTGCATATAATTTCTTACACTTTTGTAAAGATGACAAGATGAAAAGTACATAGTATTTCATATAGAGTAGCAACAAAGTTAGCTATATTAGCACAATCTGGAATAATACAGTCTTACACTGTAAAACCAGAGTTGCTTAATAAATTATATAAAACCAGAATTTACTTGGACTTAACAGCCACAAAATAGGATTTCTTTTGTTACACATTGAACAGGAAAGAATTCAAGCTGTGCAATAGAAAATAAAACCAATTTTTTGTCACTATATTAGCTATCTTTATTTGACCTGAGTACGTATTTGTAAGGTGGGCTAGACTTCAGTTTGTGCCATCCAAGGAATATAGAAGTTGGTGTCAGTCTACTTACCTTTAACAGACAAACTTAACATAGTATTTATAAATATCAAATATTAAGTCAGGCCAGAAGTAAATAATTCTCTTAAGCTAGGCCAACACTCAAAACTTTCAGTTTGATACTGTAACAATATTTTTTATCTAGCAAACACTTTAATTAAATGGTTACACTGACAAAATATGGCATACTCTTTGTGGTGTACCTTATTTTATCACAGAATCACAGAATGTTAGGGATTGGAAGGGACCTCGAATGATCATCTAGTCCAAGCCCCCTGCCAGAGCAGGATCACCTACAGTAGGTCACACAGGAACACATCCAAGTGGGTTTTGAATGTCTCCAGAGAAGGAGACTCCACAACATCTCTGGGAAGCCTGTTCCAGTGGCCTGTCACTCTCACAGTGTAAAACTTTTTCCTTATGTTTATATGGAACCTCCTATGCTCCAGCTTGCACCCATTGCCCCTTGTCCTGTCATTGGACATCACTGCGAGGAACCTGGCTCCTTCCTCATGACATTTGCCCTTTACATATTTACAAACATTAATGAGATCACTCCTCAGTCTTTTCTTCTCCAAGCTAAAGAGACCCAGCTCCCTCAGCCTTTCCTCATAAGGGAGATGCTCCACTCCCTTAATCATCTTGGTGGCTCTGTGCTGGACTCTCTCAAGCAGTTCCCTGTCCTTGAACTTTGGGGCCCAGAACTGAACACAATACTCCAGATGTGGCCTCACCAGGGCAGAGTAGAAGGGGAGAAGAACCTCTCTTGACCTACTAACTGCACCCCTTCTAATACACCCCAGGATGCCATTTGCCTTCTTGGTCATGAGGGCACACTGCTGCCTCATGGTCATCCTTCTGTCCATCAAGACCCCCAGATCCATTTCCCCTACACTGTTTTAAAACTAGTCTGTCCCCAGCCTATACTGGAACCTGGGATTGTTCTTTCCCAGATGCAAGATCCTACACTTGCCCTTGTTATATTTCATTAATTTTTTTCCTGAAAATCTTTTAAATAGCTCCAGGGATCGTGACTCCACTACTTCCCTGGACAGCATGTTCCAATACTTAACAACCCTTGCGGTGAAGAAATTTTTCCTACTATCCAATCTAAACCTCCCCTGGTACGACTTCAGGCCATTTCCAGATCCCATTCAGACAACTACCAGGAGCCAGATTACACAGTAACGATCAGTCCGACTAGACTCTGCCCCATTGACCACAACTCTCTGATTTCTTCCTTTCAACCAGTTCACAATCCACCTCACTACCCAATCATCCAGACCACACTTCCTCAGTTTAGCTGCGAGGATGCTGTGGGAGATGGTATCAAAGGCTTTGCTGAAATCAAGATAAACCACATCCACTGCTCTACCATCATCTATCCACCTGGTTATGTCCTCATAAAGGCTATCAGGTTGGTTAAACATGACTTCCCCTTGGTAAAACCATATTGACCGCTCCTAATGACCCTCTTACCCTTGATGTGCCTTCAGATGGCACCAAGGATAAGTTGTTCCATCACCTTTCCAGGGATGGGGGTGAGGCTGACTGGTCTACAGCTACCCAGGTCCTCCTTCTTGCCCTTTTTGAAGACTGGAGTGACATTTGCTTAGTCCAGTCCTCAGGCACTTCTCCTGTTCCCCACGACTTACCAAAGATGATGGAGAGTGGTCTAGCAACGACTTCTGCCAGCTCCCTCAGCACCCGCAGGTGCACTTTATCAGGACCCATAGATTTATGGATGTCCAGATTGCTTAATTGATCCCTAACCCAGTCCTCATCAACCAAGGCAAACTCCTCCTTAAACCTATCTGCTGAACTCCTATCAGCATGAACCACACAGACAAAATGCTTTCTGGAGATGGAAACTGTACTGGCATTAGGAAACTGTATCATTTTGCCAGCCAGACCTTTCTAGCACTGACTAGGTCTTAGATTAAGGGTAAAGAATGTCCCTTGAAGGAGTGTACCTTGAAGATCAAAGCTGGCAATGGAAGATAATGCAATTGAACAGCTACTTTTTTGCACAGGGCTATGTATACTATAAGCAAATGCATAAGAATTAATGGGGGAAAAAATGCTGTATTTGTTTTCATTCAGTTTTTGAAAGAATTAGAGATCATATTACTGTAATTTCATACAAGGAACATCTGCTACCTGTGGCAAAACTGTAATATCTCATGTTCTTCCTTAACTGAAAAGCTCATTGCAATAGCACAATCAGTGGAGGTTCAGGCATTGTTCAATAATGGGCAAGCAGTTACATGTGACCTACCAAACTCTATACTTCATATCATTTCTCCTAGGCCTGACTCATAAAGGAGATGTCTATAAAGGCCTTTTAACCACACTGTGTCTCCAGTTCAACTCGTAGTTTTGGAGTCTTTCATTACAGTGAGCCTATCACCACTCTGTTAATGACTGCCAGTTGCATGTTGCAGCTTCAGTTCACTTCCCTCTTTCCACTTTTCCCTCTAAAATAGTAACAACTTCAAAGTACCCAATACACATCCCAAGTATACCATACCTCAACCACTTCTCTGACAGACTACCTGATTATAAGAATAAATAACCAAGTCTCATTCAAAAAAATATTAGCACAAGTCTGGCACTCACATTAAAACTATTGTTTTGGTGGCTGTATTTCAGAGAGGTCAAGTGGAGATAAATGCCTGTGAGATTTTAGCAGTTTTCTCAGGGACAATACACATAACTAGCAGTGACTAAAGCAGCTCCAGGATGACATCATTGAAGCACAGTGCCTAAACTCTGTTAGTTGCTATTTCACAGGGTCAAATTTTTCTGCAGTTTTAATTTTTTTTTTTTTTTTTTTTTTA